GACACACACACACACACACACACACACACACACACACACACACACACACACACACACACACACACACACACACACACACACACACACACCACCCCTCAATAAGTTGCTGGGCTTTTCCCCACGACTCCTCTTTGCAACAAGTTTCAAGGTATTCAGCTAAGGCACAACTGTGCTATGGTTTCCAAAAACAGGAAAGCACAGCTACAGACTGAGACTCCAAAGTGGAAAGCAATAAGAAAGAAAGTTTTATTTATTCATTCATTTCTTTGCTCACTTTCAGGTTCAGTTGGAACAGACGTGAACAGAAATTATATCTCTGCATTTTTAGGTTGAATAYCAGCGCCAAATACATTTCTACATTATTATTTTTTTGTTACGTCCACACAGTATTATGATGAGGTCATTACTAGTATATTGTTCTAAGCCGCATGTGTGAGGGTCTCAATTCAGGGGCAAAAACCACATAAAAGGCTGYATAAAACGGCTGTGAAATGAGACGGTCGAATCTTTGGATGATATACTGTATGTTTGCATGACCATGCACTGCCCTGTTACCGTGGTGTTACATTTTATATCACGTGCCTTCAGTTGGAACATGAATTTATGTCCTTTCATGGGAGGCATAATTTCACAAAAGTTAGTAGTATTAAAAAATGTCACACACTGTTATTGTAACCTCATTTTTACAAGTTTTTTTAGGATATATATAAATATCTATAGTTTGTTATTTTGTATTTAAACCTAAATGTAATACAGTTTGCCTAAAAAGTTGCTGTTTGTTGTCATATTTGTTCAYTTATTGAGGTACTTGCAGCCTCAATTTATTAGCACTGGCTTCGAGCYCCGGTTTGGACCAGTGGYCTTTCTGTTTGGAGTTCAGTTTGTWTGTTCTCCTTGTGCGTATTTCCTTCAGATACTCTGGTTTCCCCCAAAAACTTGGACATTAGGTTGCTTTCAAACCCAGGTCTCCCTTGCAAAAGAGATCTGTGATCTCAATAGGATTTGCCTGATTAAATGCAAGTTAATAATAAATAAATGATGCATTTAAAGGGTAT